TCTCCGCTCAGCAAGGCCTTCCTCAGGGTTCGCCTATCTCTCCCTCTCTATACAATCTTTTCTGCCACGATCTTTACAACGACAACCCAGACGCCTTTAACCTCACTGCATACGCACTACTTTATGCCGACGACACAGCATTGGTCTCGCACAGTAGGGATATCACTTCCTCGGTCCGTAAGCTGCAGACGCTCATAAACGAAACGGAAAATTGGTACCGAAAATGGCGCATCCTACTCAATCCCACAAAAACACAATTTTTTGTCCCATTCCTCTCACCCCGCGCTCCCTCTCCCACAATTACAATCCAATCAACGGCAATCTCCGTCTCACCAACCTGCAAGTATCTTGGCATAATACTTGACAGAACGCTTAAGTTTTCCACTCATGCAACCAAGGTGAAGATGAAAGTAAAGACACGCGCCAAACACTTTAAATCTCTCTCGTTCAGCGGTCGCGGAATCTCTACCTCATGTGCCTCGCACATCTACAAGACCATATGCAGGCCCATCATAGAATATGGATCAATACTGCTAAGCAACGCACCAAGAAGAACGAAGTACCACCTGGAAGTAGCGGAAAGATCTGCACTGAGATCCATCACCCGAATTAGGAACCCCCGTAATCCCCTCTTTAACCCTAGCAATGATCTGCTATACCAACTTACCGATATACCCCCTATCCATACCCGTCTTCAATCTTTGTCCGATAAATCCATTCTAAATTTTCTTACCAACGCCTTGCAACACATGCTTATATCGCCTCGATTACTCCACCCTCGCAACAACCCACCTCTTCTCTTCCAAAAACTCCTGGCCGTCAGAGAAGACTGAAACAAGCCGCCGACTACAAAAATCACGGGCAGAAAGACCTTGGTCGGTAGCCCTATCTCACCCCTTAACTTTCTTATTCTTGTTGTATATACATATAGATATTTTTATTGTTATTCTTATTTTTTTTTATGTAGTGGGTACAGAATAAAATTTGTTTTTCTTCTTCTTCTGTGGCAATATAGGGTATCACTTCAGAAATGAACCAGAAATTATAACTATTATGAAGGGGATGCCGAATATCTGGTATCCGTTCCATCACTAATGTAAATATTTCTATTTTTTTTTCTACAATTCTCTGCATCTACTGGGAATTTCATATATCTCGCAATATATGAATGCAATAACAAATTAATCTAATTGTAATTTTGCTTGGAAAAAAGTAACGTCCTTGTCATAACCCTGAGATTTCGGCCGATGTTATGACAAGGACGTTAATCAACAAATTAAATTATATTGACATGTTACATTTTATGTGAAACAAAGCCCTGGATTCTTATTATAATTTTTATTAAATAATTTCTTTAAAGTTATTTTGAGAAAAAGACGCGTTACGAATTTCCCATGTACATTTGGTTGCTCATTTTTTGTAAATAGTGGTAGAACTTGTATTAAAGGCAGCTGAGCCTGCTTATCTTGCCCAAAATAAACTACAAGAAGGCGACCCGTAATTGGATAAAAATTTTAAATGTAAGGAGAAGATATTAAAATATTCTTTATTAATATTAAAATCGTTGCTGAATTCATTTAATTATTCTTGTGCATAAAATGTATATTAAAAAAAATTTTTAATTAAATTTTAAAATATTTCTTATCCTTCTTCAAAAAAATCTTAAGAATTTAAATTAAAAAATCAAGATGATTGATAAAGACACATTGTCGATACTTCGCAAACATACCTTCGTAAAAACCGTAAAAAAAAAAAATAAAATTGAGAACGAATCAATAACCGTTCATAAATCATTCACGCTGGGTCACCTCCGAACGGTTTTTATCGTCAAATTTTCTTAACTAACTAAATAATAAGGGGGGAATGTTGAGGTAAAGAAAGGGCGTAGAGGACCGTGTAATTATGTACATTCTTAATTAGGAAATGGAGTTATGAAAGGATGTAAGTCATCAGTTGGTGAGATAAGGGATTAACCCGCTGCGAGAAAGCGTCTCTCGTCGTCGGAGGGTGTAAATTCTCTGGTTGGTCTCTACCTTAATTACGTTTCGAGATTTTCGGCGGGAGATAGTTTTAGTTAATTAAATCTTAGTTAGGTTTGGTTTTGCTTGATTAGCTTTTGCACTCTTAAAAAGATGATTTAGAAAAGATTTAAAATAGAAAATTTGATTATGCTTTTTAAGCGGGATTTTAACAGGAAGTCGTTTTTCATTTGAGGTATCTGTAATACGTGCTGTAAAACTTACAGCACCTCTGGAGGATGCAACAAGTTACTTAATTTGTCCCATAGTGTCTTAAATGTACCCATGATGAAAAAGATGGAAATTGGGTTGGGGCCATAGCGCGTCTTACAGTATAGGGATGAAATTTAATTTGATGGAACAGTTATTTCCACTTAATCATCATATGGCAGGAAATTCTGCTGCATGGTAGCATATCTAGAAAGGTACACTTTTGCAATAAAGCCTGAAGGAGAACGTTCGTGACTTTTATGGGTGGTACAAATCTTTAGTAGAAGAAACAGCGTTGTTTTGAAGAAAAACCAATTAATTTAGGTCTTTAGAGTCAGGAGAGATAAGGGATCTGAGTGCCATCGCAAAACATGGAACAGGAATCACAGTTCTATAAATACTGTAATAATATTGGGTTCCACTCATAATTTTATTAATTAATTAATAAACAATAGTTTTGTTATAAGAAATAATTACAATAAAGAGGAAATAATGACATTCCGTAGAAAAATCCTTGTAAATCGAGAGCCTAGAGAGTTTATTAGTACTTCTTCAAATCTAAAAAAAATAGACAAATACAATTCAATCAGATAAAAACAACAATAAAATCAGTGATCTTACCGTTCAAATTAATATTATAATTAAAATATAAAGAACAACTCGCGTATTGATATCAAAGTTGATATACCGAGGATAGTTAAAGCTGATCGTTGAAAAATTTCATAAAAGTTTGTTATAGTTCTCATTGATTTCGTCGTTATTTCTAAAAATGTTTTAATCAATGATAAATCAGTTCGTATTTCCGTCGTAGATCAAGAAATATTCTTGTATTTAGTTAAAAAAAAAAGAGGCCACAAAAAAACGAAACATAACCTCCAAATTCAAAGTATTCAATTTATGGGTGATTACAGTCAAAAAACTTCTTGAAATACCTAAAAACATAAAGCTTATAATGAATTACATCAGATTCAAGTGATTTTAATCAGTTTAAAACCGAAATGTTGAAAATTAAAAATGTGAAGATTTTGAAAGAAACGGAATATAAATTTTGGAATTAAAGAAGAATTAATGTGAAAAATTGTGTCAAAGGGGAATGAAATAATTCAGAGTATTCAGACATTGAAGGATTTNGGTACTTGACGATCTCGGATATCTAGATTAATGTTATTGATTAATTTTTATTAATAAACAATTTTTCCATTTTTCTCAAAAATTTTCTGATGTAAGGATACAAAAATTTTACGCCATCGTAAAGAGAAAAATAATCTCTATCAAATGAGCCTAAAGAAAGAATACATTGCTATTTAAAAAAATTTAAGTATTATTCTTTACTCATTTGTTTTCTGAATTAAAAACAATTGACTGCAGTCTTATTATGGCAAATAAAATATTAAACAAGTTTTGTATAAAATGTTTTTCTATAAAGTTGATACCTACAAAGATATATACTATATTCCATACATAATGGACACCCTGTATATCCCAGTCAACGTTAATTCAAAAAAGCTCTAAATTAGCACGATTACCCGTCAGATGCTCTCAAATAGATTGTCATATATTGTATCAGAGTATCTTATACAGAGTGGTCAAAAATTAAATTACCGTTTCTCCATATTCAATGGGGAGAAAGTCGAAAATTTTAAATGGACCGCCCTATATTTTATTAGCCTACACGAAAGGGAATATAATTCTCTACAATTTATCTATAAACATTCTTATACTTATTCATTGTAGTTTCTCTCATATTCGTAAATTTATCAAAACATGCAGAAAATGTAGGAAACCGTTTGTATTTTTATTAGAAGGCCATAACATTTTGACATTTCGTTATTGGATGGATACTCATTTGCGATTTCCTCCAGGTCCCGTTGCTCAGCTGGCTTCATAGGGTCCTACTTACATAATTGCAGCTATTCGATAAAATTCCGCCGCCTTATCAAGCTTCTTCGCTGTGCACGATTTGTGGAAAATATATCTGGCAAGATTCCCTGGGAGATGACTTTTAGTACGGCCAGATGTTGACATACTACTCTTCGCATGACTTTAGAAAACAAACCCTGAGATCGTTTATTTTCGTTATTTTTTTTTGTAGAGTCTCGTGTTAGATATTTTTTTTTCGTTTCAATAATTTTTTTTTGTAAAGTATTTTTTCTATTTTCTATTAAAGATTGTTATTTATTTATTGTATTTCATTAAAGTATTTTTATTAATTTTCGAAAGACGAATACACAAATTATCACAATACATAGTTCTAAAGTAATCAATCTATTAATTTAATTTAATAGCAATGCATTGAATTTAATGATATAATTAAAAAATGATTTATTGAGGAAATAAAATGCATCATTTATGTTAAATTAGTTTCTTTGCGATTATGATTTCATTTCAAGTTTTGCCCAAGAAAAGGTTAACCTCCTTAATAGACGCTTTAAAATCGAAATCAAAATGAAGTTGTTTTTAGTAATTTCAGTAATAATTTACTTAAGTTTATCTGTATTATCCGCAAATGTACAAAATTTAAACCCAGGTAAATAATTTAAAGTTTTTTTTAATTAAAAACTTTACAAAATATTCTTTTTCGTCTTTTAGGACATTTGAATAGACTGAAACGAGCGAGTTGTTCGTTAAAAGGTTTAAATGAGCAAGCTTGCGCAATGCACTGTCGAATTACTGAAAGAACCAACGGTTATTGTTACAACCAAATGTGTCATTGTGGAAACACTAGGAAACACTCTCACATCCCGATGATATCGCTAGATTTTTAAATTTAAATTGCTAAATGAAATAATATTTCGTTGAAAATAAAGTTCATTCAAAACTTGTTATATGTAGTATGAAAGTTATATCTGAACATAATCCCAAGTGGTTTTAAGTGGGTAAACTATAAACGGTTGGTAACAACTTATCCTCAAAATACGACCGCATCGCACTCAAAACAAGAGGTTATTAGACGAATTTCTAAACTAATTTGGCCGCAGCGCATCAGTATTTGCGCAAAAACCCACTCCAGCCGTGCCTCTCGTAGGCGATTCGAGAGGATTTAAGCTGGAATTAGCGTAATGTAAGCTGGGATAGACGCGAAGCACGCGTTTGAGCGTTCGAAGGTTGGCAACGACACAAGCTCTCGACACGAAAATGTATTATATCGATCCCTCGTTACGACCTATAGAGACTCTGAAATAACGAGGGGTGTCTAAAATAAAAGTGAACAGAAAAAATAACAACCGTAAAGAGAAAAATCGGGAAACAGAAATGAGGAAAAGAATAAAAAGATAACACGACCATCGAACGGTAGAAATTACCGTGCTACAAAACGAACTTCGTCTTTTCTTCTTTGCACAACAATCCGGATTGCTTCGTTAATTGCCGCTACGGATATAAACGGAGATATTATTCGTACGTTTTAATTAAATGGGAAGTAATTAAAGAAAATAGTTCCCGAGGAAATTCATTTTCAAAGAATTTTGTTTGCTGGGGTTTCGGGTTATTGCTTCTTGGCAATGACCCTACACCGTTTTCAACGACGATGAGGTTGTCCATTTTGCAGTTATTTGGTTAGAAACGACTATGAAAACATGAAAACAGTTTTCTTGGTGGAACATTGAAATTTGTATCAAACAACAAATATACCTACTTAATTATATTAATTTTGAGTACTTTAGCAAAACTTTAATTAATTTTCACAATTTATAACTGTGATTAATTGGAATTAATTGAAGTTATGATTGGAGTTGAAATTACTACGACAGAAATAGCGAAACTACTGTACTAATATAGATTCAAATGACTCAAGTTGCGGCATACAAAGTTAAGTTTGAATACGAACACCTTTGTTTAAGAGCAAGTTTAAAATGCGAAATATAGTATATATCAACAAAATTTGTTAACAAAAGTAGTTTGTCAAATGATAAAATCAATTTTCATCAAAGTGTGATCACAACAAACTTTTATACAGCAAATTTTTAAATAAAACTGGACTAACACTGGCACTAAAATTAACAATGAATGATTCTAGTTCTAGGTATGTACAGGGTGTCCAAATTTCGATGGGTTTGCAGGGTATCTCAGTTATTATGAAAGATAGAAAGTTGCGGTTTTCGCGAACCTGAGCTACTTTTTTGTGAAACTTACAATGCCGCAAACCAAATTTTCATAGACCTCTTCGTTTTTGATATACAGGGAGTATTTCAAAATTTACGATTTTCAGACACCCCCCGTATCTCGGCTATCCGGAAACTTAGTAAAAAAGTAAAAACGGGTTCTAATAGATTTTTTCACGGAGAATCCAATGGTGCACGTAGAATTTTTCTAGTCATCACGGTTTTTGAGTTATAAACACAACTTAGGTTTTTTTAAATGGAACCACCTATATTTTATTTTTTTATTGAACTAGAATTTTTTCAAGCTTTTCAATGATATATAATACTCTATACTTACCTTTATAATTAACCTCGAAATTAAAAAAAAACCACATTATTTTATAAGTAGGCTATGATAAATTAAGTGATCGCGTTGCTAGGATACCAGAATAAACAAAGAATTTTGAAAATACTATAATATTAATTATTGACTTATTAAAAAAATGTATCTATTAAATTTTGTTTGCTAAAAACGAAAAATTATTAAAAACTAAACATTATGCAAATATGGCTTCAAGTTACAAGAATTGTTCAAAGTTGTTACCATTTTGATGCACACATTGTTCACAAAGTTTAGTAATGCGTTTAATTGCATTTAGAATAGTTATGGGATGTTGCTGTAAATGTGAAAAAGCATCAGTTACAGCAATTTTCAATTCCAATTTTGTTCGATTCTGGGTACTATATACCCGATTCTTGATATATCCCCATAAAAAGAAGTCCAAAATAGATAAATCAGGTGATCTTGCTGGCCATCGCGTTGGACCATGTGTGCCTATCCACCTACCAGGAAATTCTGCAGTTAGGTAGCGACTCACTAACTGCGCATTATGAGCGGGAGCTCCGTCCTGCTGAAAATAAATATTATTTAGCCGAATAAGAGGAATATCATCCAAAATCTCTGGCAAAGCCTCTTGCAAGATGGCCAAATAGCGATTAGCGCAAAGGTTTCCTTCAAATATTTTGTAAACAATTCGTGGCCCAATAATAAAACATGCCACGCTAAAACCAAATTTTCCTTGACGCTCCCGCTCAATTACAATATGTTGGTTTTCTTGATGCCAATGCCTGTTATTATGACGATTATAGATTCCTGTGCTGGTAAAATATGCCTCATCAGACCATATAATAGAGGAACTAAATTCAATATTATTTTGTGCATGGTTCAAATACCAGTTACAGAATTCCAAACGTCGTTCGGCATCTCCCGGGTGTAAGTGGTGAACTATTTGTTCTTTGTAGGGTTTATATTTATACTTTTTTAGAATCGCACAGGCTGTCGATTTTTTAATTCCAACTTGACATTCAATTTCCCTACATGATGTTTTAGGCGCGGCTTCCACACATCCTAACACGGTAATTTCATTGTTATTCCGATTTTCTTTATTATATTTTTTTGGCCTGGGCATCAAAAAACTTCCATAATTGATCAAATTACGCTTTATTCGCAAAAAAATTTTTGAATTTGGTTGCGCTCTTTCTGGATATCTGAAGTGAAACAATCTGCTAATAAAATGTTATTGCTGATAAATGTTGCATTCTACCTATTTATGTATAATTCAGCAGCTTGATTAACATTTTCATTTGCATGAATGTAACATGCTAGCATGTCATATTTTTCATAATTTTCATAGCGCTCCATTTCAAGAAAAAGATAATTAAGTTAAGTTAATTAAAGGTAATTAAGTAACACACGACTTATTGTTAGCACAAAATTCAAAATTAAGTTTGACAGTAATTAACTATATTTACTTTGTTTATTCCGGTATCCTAGCAACGCGATCACTTAATAGACAACCTAAGCCTTGACGTAACAGAGATGGGCGGAGCTTATATCGACTCCAAACATTTTCATAGCTAAGTGTGTTGCTAACGGTAAATCACCATATGCAATTTTTCAATTAGTGTTAAAATAAAATAAACTAAGTGACTTTTTATGACATTTCAAATGACATTTTTATTACGGTTTATCATTAACAACTGTGATTAGCAACGAAATTGTTTGGAGTCGATATAAGCTCCGCCCATCTCTGTTACGTCAGGCTAGGCAGTCTATTTATTATTGCCTACTTATAAAATAATATATTTTATCTACAACTATTGAATTATCTATTCGTTATACATTTGATTTTTGACGTGTAATGACATTCATTACCCATGACTGACAAAGTATTGAATAATGAAGCCATTATTCCACAGTTCTGACACGACCTACTAGATCTACTAATTAAAAAATGAATTAAAAACAGAAATGACAGCCATGACAGCTTTCTTATATTGAGGTTATGTTAACTTAGACGATGAGCTATAATTTTGACAATATCGCTTTTGTTTTGCGATATTTCTCATATCTGTCATAATAAGGAAGGGGAGGCCAATGCGTTATTTTCGGTGTTGTTTAAAAAAGCACTTATGCTCTTTTTAAACATATTTTCAGTAAGACCGTTTGCTTTAAAACAAATAAGCTAGAGGACGTTATCCGCAGCGATTACTTATTTTTGTGATTTTTGAAGAAAGGTTAAATGGAACGGTACTATTTACTTCACAGATCCTTAGTCACCTTAAAAATTGCTACATTTTAGTGAAAACCGCATCTCGATATCGCCACCCGTTCTCGAATTATAGAAGAAAATGTTAAAAACTCGAGTGCCATCAATCGGATCCAGTTACCTCATCGACAAAAACTAATCACGTAACCATGGCAACTGTAAACATGTCATTTACTAACGCAGAAGCGTATGATGATTTATTTTCAATGTTTCGAATACGATGGAACTGCATGGTAAAAATGTGCAATGCAATTACGACAAAGAAAGACATTTTTTTCTAAAACAATTGTCCACAAGGTTCCTCAAGAAAATAATATCTCCACCACATTGTTTTACATCACGCCTTAACAGATACCGATTATGATAACAGACTGAACTATTATCATTGACTTTTAAATAAGATTTGGGCAAATCCAAACCTTTTATTACAAATGCTGTGGATGCATGAAGCATCTCTCCGTAAACTGGTGTAAACTTGCATAATATGCATTCTTGGTTCGAGCAAAACCCACATTGCAAAACCCAACCCAACCCAATAATAAAATAATTTAGATAAAGGGGTGAACTTTATCTAAATTATTTTATTATTGGGTAGACTAAACGACCTGACTTTTCAAGAAAAACCAATAACCAGGGAAAATATTACAAAACACTAAATGCCAGTAGAAACGTGTTCAAGGCCGAAACCTAAACAGCGTTTTTTTTTTTCGTCGAATTTAGATTAAATAAATACATCGAGGTTTATGGAATTAGTTATTAATAGTTATTGTAAGAGTTTTGGCTTTTAAACACGCCTCAAAAGTAGCTTTGAAGCAGTTCTAAGCTTGGATAAAGTGTGAAGGAAGGTTCTAGATAATAAAATTTTTGTTCTCTCTTATTTGTTTCCTAAGGTAATTTGATCCGATTAAGATATACGAAATTTAACATTTTCTTCTATAATTCGAGAATGGATGGAGATATTGAGATGCGGTTTTCACGAATATTTAGCAAATTTGATGGTGATTAAGGGTCTGTGAAGTAAATAGTACCGTTCCATTTAACTTTTTTTCAAAAATCACAAAAATATGTAACCGCTGCAGATAACGCCCTCTAGCTTATTTGTTTTAAACCAAGCGGTCTTATTGAAAATATTTTTCGATTGAAAGAGCATGAAATGCTTATAAGGATTTTTTTCCCAAACCTATAGGCCTTACCGTTGTCGAGATACAGCCGCTCCGTACCCTTAATAGGACATCCTGTATAGTGTTAGTTCTAGTTTTACACTTGCACTGTCACTAGAACTAACATTAGACATAGAACTAGAAATATTTGGATTTAGCCGCACGTCTCTAAAGACGGCTAAACCCGAATGATTCTAGTTCTTGGGCACAACAATAAAACTAGAACTAACACAAGACCTAGAACTAGAATCATTCGGGTTTAGCCGTCTTGAAAGCGTTAGATTGTGGTATATTTTTATTGAACGAAAAGTAGAACTAACACTAGACATAGAACCAGAACCATTCCGGTTTAGCTATGCATCTCTTAAGACGACCGAAAACTCAGAGTTGTCATAAGGACGTCACCTTTTTCCAAGCAAAACTTTTCCTTTGCAAAACTACTCAATGTATATACAAATAAGCTATGTTGCATTTTATGTGGGACAATACAAGTGCACAGTATTTTCGTAACTATGGTTACAGCATTCATATATTGCGAGTTATATGAAATTCCCTGTATATCACATAATCACTTAGGCACTGCTTTCAGGGTCGACATTAAATACCTCCCAAGTATAAAGTTGAAAATTTTCGCTAATTCATGTTAAGGAGATTAAATATTGATGGCTCCTCATACCCCTATGATTTTCCTGTGTCGCTTGTCTTTGTAATTTAAAAACATTTCCAATTTATATTTCATTAGGATTCCATTGACAGATCATTGATGTTTACTAGTGTATTGTTGCAATGTTAATTAAGCTTTTAAGTGCATGGTGGTCGCTGCCTAATTAACCTATCGTATACCAGATACTCTACGATCTATTGACCGATATTTCTACATACTATAGTTGTTATCTCTTTAGATCCTATCTTTCAGACTGTTCTATTTTTCGAATCGCAAGGTAGGCACAAAAATATTATTGTCAGATATTATTTATAACTTTGGAATAATAATTATAATTAACACAGAACTACAACATAAATGAAATTTACTTACCGTTTTGTATACAATGTTGTCACAAGTTTTAAAACAGGATAAAAAAGATACATTAACATTCAATACATTTTATTTTTTTTATTATACCATATTGATACAGATTATAATCTATAAACTACGACATGTAAAACATTACTTTGGTTTTTAAAATTTTTTTTTGAGACCAATAAAAGCAGTTGTTTAAAACTGCCGGAACTGTCAGAAACAATTCGAATTCAAATAGCTGAGTTGGTGTGGAGTGTACAATTTGTTCGTATTTGGTCATCGATCAGACTTGACATAGGTACGATTTCCCGTTATGATACGGGCGATATGCGATTTATTTGTCGTGTTATATTACTCGGGGTACAATAATAATTGCGATATTATGAGATATGCCTGGTGATTATTGGATATTTTCGAGCGCACTTGATTTCAACTCTGTTGACCTGAATTAAGGTGGAAATCTAAAAATATTTTTGATATAACTTAATTATTTATATGTATAAGTATGTATAGATTATATACATTTAAAGTAAGAAAAACAATTTGTTAAGTTTATTTGAAAAACGATTTCTGTTTGCCACCTTAATTCGACCGATTCAAAATCGAGTAGAGAAACGTCTCGTAGGATATTGCTGAAAGGGGCACGTGCACACTGTGCTGTTCTCACGCGTGAGCAGTTAGGGGACGTCTAGAGAAGATTTTAAGTCATTCACCGCCACCAACCGACATCACGTAATTTCGCAATGTTACAAAGTTGAAATTCCAATGAGGGAACACGTCGGTCTGCACGAGGAATGACAATAAATTGGCATGTGTGCGTTTTTGGCGATGTAAGTCGTGATGTTTCCAGTCTTTTTTATCCATACTTTCTTAATCATTTTTGCGCTTTTTATGTTGTATTGTCTAATTCGTTCGAAATGAGAATTTTTAATTAGTTTTCATTTAATTTGGCAGAATAGAAGATAAATACTTTTGAGTTGAGCACATCTGTTAATTTTAAAATCTTTTAAGAAAAATGTTATTAGACAAAAAATTATCACCGCTTAAGTAAAACAGCTAAAATAAAAAATAATAAAAGTGGAGTTGCGAATATCATCGTTGTACTTCCCGAGGTTTTGTGTCCTTTAGTCCTTGCAAGTCCTAAATAAAATAAATATTTCATTATATACAATAAATAAATGTTTGGTGAAACTAAAATTACATCAATACAAAAATTATATGAATAATTTAGAATACAAGCGATCGATTGATAATTGCACAAACAATACTCTTTACATATCGTCGATGCGTTGTGAATGATGTACCCTAGGTTTAAATTTAATTGAATTGTTTTAAAACCTTTAAAAAGCTTTTTTTAATAATTGACGAGTTATCGCTTTATTCGGTGATGTTAAATTATTATTTAATATTTGAATTAATTATTTAATATGTTATTAAAATTTAAACATTAAATGTTGAAACATTAAAATAATACTACTGTGTATGAACCGGAAATAAAACTTTGAAACGAAAATATGATTATTGAGTTTTAACGCGTTCCCATATAAGTCGTAATGCAAGCCACAAAAGTATGCCGTAAACGTAAAAAGTAATTTCCCGTTCGTTGCTTTTTAGGGTCATACTATTTTTATGGTTTACCTTGACACCTAAGAAGGGTTATTAATTATTAATGTATGATTGATGGTATTGAATACATAAAACAGGTTTACGTAATTATAATTGGACCGCGTTACACATCACTTGACTAAGCGAAGTTTTATCGTTTTTAGAGATTTTCATGCTGTTTGGTAAGTAACTTATCTTAGAAAAAAATGCAGAATACTTTATTTTAATTACTTGTCTGTATCCCAAACAGTTAAAATAAAAAGTGAGTCCAAACTTGACGCATTTATCTCAAAAAACCAAAAAGTTCGAACTTTCAACTTTTAATTTTGACATATTTGTCAACTTCATAAAAAATCCTTTAAAATGAGTCCAAACTCGACATATTTAACTTGAATATTAATGGAAATACAATCACTTCCGGTTTGAAACGTCAACGTCAATTTTGACATTTTTGTCATCTTCATTAAAAAACCTTTAAAATGAGTCCAAAGATGACGCACTTATCTCTAAAAACAAAAAAGTTAGAATAAAAAACATTAAACCCTAAGTTAGCAACAATGAAGATAGCAATTTAATTTTTAAATATTAATACCAACATTAATTTTTTATTTTTTTTATTATATTTTTGTTTTTGTGGCAAATATTAAGATATTTTATAAAAATTATGAATATGTCATCATGACATTGACATTTCAAACCGGAAGTTGCTTATATCGCGAGTAATATTGGAATTAAACGTATTATGATAGGACTCATTTTAAAGGATTTTTCACGACGATTACAAATATGTCGAAATTGACGTTGACATTCTTAACCGGAAGTTGATCATAACTTTATTAATATTGAAGATAAATATGTCGTGTTTGTACTCATTTTAAAGGATTTTTAGTGTAGATTACAAATATGTCAAAATTGAGGTTGATGTTTTAAACCTGAAGTTAGTTATCATATAATAGAAGTTTTATAACTGAAGTTAATCTAGTGTTAGTCACTTTTCCGCACATTCCTTTTATTTTTAACGTGTTTTTGAATATATTAAGAATATGTCAAAATTGAGACATTGACATTTCAAACCGGAAGTTGCTTACATCTCGAGTAGTATTGGAATTAAATGCATCATGTTTGGAATCATTTTAAAGGATTTTTTACGACGATTACAAATATGTCAAAATTGACGTTGACATTTTTAACCAGAAGTTGACCATAACTTTATTATTATATTGAAGATAAATATGTCATGTTTGCACTCATTTTAAAGAATTTTTAATGAAGATTACAAATAGTATGTCAAAATTGTGGTTGACATTTTTAACCGGAAGTTGACCATAACTTCATTAATATTGAAGATAAATATGTCGTGTTTGTACTCATTTTAAAGGATTTTTAATAACGATTACAAATATGTCAAAATTGAGGTTGACATTTTAAACCTGAAGTTAGTTTCGCGATAGTTTTCTCAATGCTCATCGTTAGTAGTTAATTAAATAAGTAAAAAAAAAGGTTGATTATTGTTTATTATTTAATATTTAAATTTGGTGCGACACTGTTTCGATTGCAATTCGACGGGCATGACTAAAAATACAAACATATGATTAATATTTAAAATTAACACAATTAATTGTGTAATAAAAATCAGTTTAAAAGTACAAAATCAAACTCTACATTATTTTCTTCAAAAATTTTGCACGAATCGTCATCATTTTGTCTCTAGTTTTAGTGATTAAATTTATGCGACGACTTACAGAAACCCCCTATATAATCGTAAAATGCAACGAGCGGCTTCTGTGCTTGTGATAGCTGTCATCAGTGTTCTGTGATAAAAATGGACAGTCACCAAACAATTTTCAATAGTTGGAGCCTGTTTCTTCTGACGATGAGAAGTCCTATATTTTTAGAGACATGAAAACGGAAATTCTGTTTTTCCCAACATTATTCATTTGTGGCTTAGTCAAGTGATGCACAACGCGGTCCAATTGTAGAAACGTAAAATTTACAATTTGGAGCTTTCACGAATTTCAACATATTTAATTCAAACACCATGAATAAATATTTAATTTTTTTTATTTACCATAAACATACATTTATTTGATGTTTATTAAAAGGATAATTTTCAATCGACACTTTTTTTATAATAATTTATTTTATAAATTGTTTTGTATTACTCATTTCAATGGCAATACAAATAACTTTAACAATACACCAAAATATTAAAAAAACAAATAATCTGTCATTGTTTAAAATAAATATTTCAATTTAATATTATTTTCAATTTCCCGTGGACGGTAATGATTAAACTATTTTCATATATATTTATAAACAAGGTAGAAAACTCTATATGAATATAATAAATGCGAAAAATATAAATTTAAAAAGTTCTTGTAAATTTCGGGACTCTCATTATTTTAATTATGCAGAGAGGTGTTTGCGAAATTTGAGAGATTCGGCTTCGAATATTGTGCGAGCTTATCTCTATGCATGTATAAGGATAAAACAAATTTGTATTGTATGAAACTATCCACGACCCTTAACTTAATAATCATTCATCTAAGTACTGCTATTTTAATTTAATGAGTTTATCACTGCAGTAATTAGTTTTGCGAGGTAAATCTCTTTTATATTCCAGAACCGAGGAAACGAACGTCATATTCAGTAACTGAATCGACTGATTGTGTTGGTTCGGAAGTCTATCATTATAGACACTGTAAGTTGAGCGATATTCAATCAATCAATCATTTATTTCAATAAGGTACAGTAGTACAATGTATTTGTCAAAACGTGTTATATACGTGTGTTATATGAATGTATGTACTTCTGAATTTTTTGTGTAAGTATGGACACTTATATGTAACTACTACAGATATGTTAATATAAAACAGCACGGTAGCGTTAATATGTTTATTCTGTTATGTCTCTGAACAGATCAGGAAAAAGTACAATACACAATAAAACACCTTATCAGTTATGGTTTAATAAAGAATTCGATTTGGAAGATTTTAAAATATTGGAAGTGAAGAATACATGTCCTGAAAGAAAAATGAAGAAAATAGTCAAAATAGTAAGAGTAAAAAGATCTTATTAAAACAAATCGATGTTGCAAATTAAGAAAGAAAAAACCAGGAGAACAAAGAAGAAGATTCGACAGAAGAAACAGTTACAGAAGAAGAAGATGGTGAACAAGAAGAAAACGACATGGGTAATAATGATGAGATAACTGAACAGGAGGTATCTATAAACAATGAAACACATGAAACAGAAGAAACCACAAAATTAAGAAATAGAAGCTCACTAAGAAAACCAATTAAATAGTTACAATGATTATGAGACCTGTTTGATAACTCAAATGAAAGAAACATTAAAGTTCCAAACAAACCATGGAAAGTAATAAAATCTAAAATAAATTGTCTTCTAGCAAATGAAACGTGGGAGCAAGTAGATAGACCTCAGAATGAAAGAATTAATAGGTGCAAAATGGGTTTTCCAGATTTTAGAAAATGAAAAACAGATGCAATATAAAACGAGATTCGATTATAGCGATGTCCATACTCCAGTAGTAAAACTGCAAACAGTTAGAACGTTTTTAGCTATAACACAACATACTATCGATTTACTTCCATACACAAATTAACAACATAAACGGTATCTCTTGATGAAGTCGTAAAAATTATAAATAATCTAAAGAAGTCAAACACAAAAAACGTCTATGGCAATTCAACCAAACTACTACAAGAAATGGTGCCAATAATAACGAAACATTTGTGTTGCCATAAACAAATATATGAGAGAAGGAGTCTTTCCTAACGAATTAAAATTGTGGTGATGCAAACGATAATAGAAATTATCGACCAATATCAATATTACCGGTAATGTCAAAGGTCTTGGAAATAATAATAAAAGAGAACGTAATGAAATATTCGATAAATGAAAATATTATAACAGAATACCAACATGGTTACCAAAAAAATAAATCAACAACATCGGCACTGCAAAGCGTAATAAAACAAATAATCAATGGTTTTGATAGTCAAAAGTACGCTCAAATTGCGTTCTGCGACTTAAGTAAGGCGTTTGACTCTGTTAATTATGATATTCTTTTAAAGAAATTGGAATGGTATGGTTTGAAAAATAATCTATTAAAAATAGTGTCGTTATATCTCCGGGATAGATATCAACAGATCCAGTGGAAAGGTACCTCTTCAGAGTGGAAAACTGCAACAGTGGGCAACTTTTTCTGCTATACATAGATGACTTGCTATAGAGTATATTTATTTGTAACTCTATATTTATTAATCGTACAATAAAATATTAAAAATTAAAATGGAGTATTTGGTAGAATGTTTTATGTTTGTCTACCAGTTTATTTATTATTTTATGACTATAACAAAATCGCCATGGGAAAATACATTATGTTGATATAACAACCCATGGTGATATAACATGATGTTTCTATATAAAAATAATAAGAGTGCGTGATGCGCTACACTTGCCAAGCAACACACATGCTGATTCAATGTGTCTCTATGCAGACGACATATCTTTTATTAATTCTTCTACAGACCTTTTCTTTTTGACCTTTAAAGCTAAAAAAAAGCCGTTAGAATACTTGCAAAATTGGGACCAAATGAGAGTTGTAGGACGAATCAAGACACTAAAAATACTAACAATACCATCCTGTTTTATTCTATCATGTTTGAATTACATACATACAGAAAAAGAACGCAGATACACACAACTATCACACACGTCATGGATGTGACATATTGGTACCACTACATAGAGTTTCAAAGACACAAAATAACTTCCATTATCAATCAGTTAAACTGTACAATGTACAGGGTGGTTCAAATTCGATGTCCAAATAGGCTATCTCGGAAACTATAAGAGATAGAAAAAAAGTAGCTTACATGTCATGATTTCGTTTTTCGAGAAACTGCTAATGCCAAAAACCTCAAGGCGTTATCGTCTTTTGTTTTTCCCCTACAAGCCAAAATTGAAAATATCGTAAAACCAGCAAGTGCAATTATCTTGGTTATTATTATAGGTGGAGTATTATAACTAAGACATTGTATGGACTTTCTTATAGAGAATTTGATGACGTAGTCAAAAAAAAAATTTTCGTTATTAGATTTTGAGATATTATGACAATTTTTGTTTTTTTAAATGGAAACAACCACTGATTATTCGCTTATTAAATTCGTTATTTTTTTCTGATTACAAAAATATGGGGTTAGATAGGTCTATTACTATCTTTTTAGAATAAAGCTAAAAATAAACTTTTTTTTAGTGTCGTGAAAGAATTTAAATTTACAGTTTCCTGTAAATTGCGGAATTTCAAAATTTATATAAAATTTACTTTATTTTCTCATATGTAACATTTTAACATGTTAAATTTTTCGTAATTTTCGAAATCCATCTTAAAAAACAGAGTTTTTAATTTGAATGTTTATTTGAATTTAATTAAAATTAAAAAATTTATGAGCGCCATCTATCAATAATTTATTAAGTCATTTATTAATAATATTAAATATCAATAAAAATTGTGAAATAATGCAATCTATTCCAACTTTTGTGTGAAACAAATATAAATTAAATAGTTCAACAAATGTATTTGTTTCAAATATCAGAAATATGTTTTTTTAATTTTTAGTTATAATTTACAGGAAACTGTAAATTTAATTTCTTTGACGACACTAAAAAAAGTTTATTTTTAGCTTTATTCTAAAACAATAAGAAATAGACCTGTCAAACCCTATATTTTTGTAATCAGAAAAAAATAACGAATTTAATAAGTTGTTTTCATTTAAAAAAACGAAAATTGCCATGATATCTCAAAATCTAAAACCGAAAAATTCTTTTTGACTACGTTATGAAATTCTCTGTAAAAAAGTGTCCATATAATGTCTTAGTTATAATACTCCACCTATAATAATAACCAAGATAATTGCACTTGTTGGTTTTACGGTATTTTCAGTTTTGGCCTCTAGGGGAAAAACAAAAGATGATAGCGGTTTGAGGTTCTCGGCATTAGCAGTTTTTCGAAAAACGAGATCATGACGTGTAAGCTAGTTTTTTTCTAACACTTATAGTTTTCGAGTTAGCCTATTTGGACATCGAATTTGAACCACCCTGTACTCTTACTAAAATTAAAAACTTAGAACACTGAAAAGTTGAAAAAAATAATGAAAGAAAAATTGTTGCAACATGAGATCTATGCAACAAGTGAATATTATGAAAAAATACAAAGTATTAATATAATGTAAAAACTTTTTTTTATGTATTTTTTTTAATGGACGATTTAAATGTTAAATAAGGTTTCGTTTTTGAATAAAGTATTATTATTAACACTCTTATTATAACGGTGTATTCTGGTGTATTCTTTCAATTCGCTTCAAACACCCTGTAGTAGTAGTAAATTATTTAAATAAAAATATAGTATACGAAATTTCGTGTTTTAATTTAATTCAACCTCAATTTTAGAAAGCTTCTCGTCACGGTACGGATGCTATAAACCTTAGGTCCTCTCCCAGTTTAAACTCAAACGGACGGAATTAAACGAATTAAACTAATTCCAAAAACCACTTACCGCCAACGGAGCCGACCCGGTTCTGCTCGTAGCCGTCGGTGTTAACTTTTATCTCTGGAAAAGGGCCGAAAAGGGACGTTTAGAGACCTGGGGGTCGCGCGTCCCCCAACCGAAACGTCGTAATTGGATCGGAACTTACCGTACAGTCGTAACGTGCCCTCTGCCTTTCCTAAAGAATTCGTTGCGATGCAATTGTAGGTACCAACATCGTACTCGGAAAAATTCTTAATTAGCAGCCACATGTAGGTCCTGTAGTTGTGCTTCTCTTCACGGATGTTGTATTTGGAACTGTTTGATGTGCGTGGTGGTTAAGTTTTAGGACAGTTTGACGTAGGTCTTTGGGACGAGGTAAATGGAACGACGAACTCACAATTAAAACATTTTAAGTAATTGTGCTTAAATGGAATTTGATTCGAGTTAATTAATGTCTTAAATTATGTACACCAGTAAAACTTAAATTACAATAAATCCAATTAAGATAATTTCGTTAAAACCGACACGATATTCGAGAATCAAATATAGAAGACCCTCGAAGGCTAGTACTCCCTTGCAAATACGCGAATGGAACGGATCGTTTATCCTTTGATAAATTAGTTCTTGGAGTAGTGCAGTTTGTCAAACAGTCGTCGTCTCATCTCCTCCGTCCGCAGGCTAAAACGCCTAACTTACTATTACTAGTACTAGGATCGAAGCAGGAGAGAAGAAAAGGGAGGTTTAGATGGTTGGTGTAAACTTACTTATTCAAGAGCATCTCGCCTCGGTTCTTCACCCAGTAGTTGATGGTGTTGGGGAAGGCCTCTACGTGGCATGAGAGTAGGACGTCGCTTCGTAGAGGAGTTCCTAGCAGCTGGTTAGGTACGCGAACCGACGGGGGGACTGCAAACAGTCAAAATTAGTTTAACGCCGTCGGCGGACGACGGTAGATGGAGCGCCGTTGCGCCGGTGTATGTTGCCCATTTAAAAGATGGATCGTGGACGTTAAACTACGGTAACAAGAGCGCGGGTTTTGGTTCACGAGAGCTTCTACCACCGCAGCTACCCCGTCATAACTAATAGCATACGCCTAGATTTATCCGGTAACCCGTTTTCTTCCCTTCCTATCCAAAACGGTTGGAAATAACATGTTCCTCTATCGTACATTTTGGGTAAATCCTCCGGTACACATCAACATCACTTTAAGCCGTCGTATATTTTCAACGTAACAACAAATTCAAAATTAAACTCATTTCAGGTACTTAAAACTATAATCGGATCAAAAAGATTCGGTTAAATCTTAACAAACGAGAATGTAATCACGTGCGATTTTAAAAATTGTTTTGTAACCTCATTAAAATCTTATTAATATTTTCAAGAAAATAGAACGCGAAAGGAACATTTCGTTTTCCCATTCTGAGCGAGTTTTCAGGGTAATCTTTCCAGATTAGTTAAATTAGCTCGGCTGTTCTCGGCAGTTTTTCAGGATTCCTTGGAGGAAAAGTTCTTTGGACGTAGAAAAATCGCTTTTCTTTCAATACTTAGACGAGACGCGGGGAATAAGAAATCTGCCCGGATGTAATACATGAAATTTCAGAAGAGTTATTGTTGGCGGTGGTGCTAACAACCCAAATGTTTTTAGTTCTACACTGAGAAAAATGATATGGAAAATTGAACTAAATCAATTTAGTTGTTAGACAAATAGTCATTTATGCTAGAAAATTTATTCATTTACCTAACGTAACTTAGCTGACATATACAATTCTAATTAGTCAAATTTATGATAGTTAATTTATCTATTTACTGAGGTGATATAACTAATTTTTAGAAAAAGAAACTACATCGTGGAAACTAGTTGATAAGTCTAGTTGTTGAGTAGTTTAGTTACCTAAAGTATTTGGTATTTTTGTTTATTTTGTTCTAGTCTGAATTTNTAATGCTTAACAAAAAGTATGTCGAATTTTAAGGGTAATTCAAAAATGTAATAAAATATGGGGTGTTCCATTTAAATTTACGAAGTTGTACCTTGTACTTTGTTTTTGCAACACCCTGTATAAACAAAAATATTTTTAGGTTATGCACCTTCGAGCACCAAATAACTTTATACAGGATGTATCTGAATGACTGCAACAAACTTCAAGGGGTGATTCAGTTCAATTTTGGCTAGAGCGAAGCGTTGTCGAATCTACGTCAATTTAACCTAAAAATTTCTAACCTAAGTTTGAACTTAGAATTTTTTTTTGACAACTCAATTTACTTTTATCTAGTAAAAGTAAACAAGTGTTTCTAAATTATCTTCGAAGAAATCGAAACCATACCTGAGATCGAGTCCAATGTTCCATCCTGTTCCCGAAGGACCCGAGAACTAAATTTCCCGAGAATCCTAAACTTCTAACACCGAAGAACATCCATCCCGCAAGACCAAGGTCAACCAACCATTTTTAACTGACATGTCACACCTCCGGAAACAAGTTAAGTGAACATAATTTCCTTTTATCGAACTCTTTAATTTTTATAACCCTCGCAATTAAAATTTAAAAAAAATCAATCTTAAAAGACCCTTATAAATTAACGCGTATAAGCTTTGTCATTTTCAACATTCTTATAAAGGAGTTACCTCTTTCTTGCACAGATTTCTTTATGCTCTATTTTATATTTAGTTCGTAAATTTAAAAATTTAGTTATAGATGTCTCCATGAACTTGCGTTTTATTCTTTTTTTTGTCCCTGGGATTCATGTTCTTTAATTTAACAAAAACAAAAATGTGTTTTTGTTCGTTGTTATCCAATTAAATAATTATTATATGTTTTCTGTGTAATTTATTTGTAAAAAATTTGGTTTATATAATTAATTTATATCGAACAAAATAAAATAATACAATATATTTAACCTTTCAACTAGGGTAAACGCACCAGTATTTGACCTGTTAAGGATTTTTTAATGTCAGTGTGTAACCGAGCCATATTATTTTTCTTGCAGATCTCTCTGCCTTTACATAAAATGATCAAAATATGATCAAATACACATCTGATTCATTTAAACTTACTTACCCTACATATAAAATATAACATCTTGAAGTAATATTTTTTAAAAAATTAAAAAGGAAAACAGTATTTCGCATTTAGTGTTTGACCACTTTGATTACATTACTTGACCAACAATAATAAACCGTAAATGTTTGACCGATTCTTAATATAATATTCATTTTCATTATTTTTCCATACTATTTTGTTCACAAAAAAATTTTTATATTTTTTGACTCTTTAAGAACATCTTTTAAAAAAGGAGCAAAATGTTCTTGACTTAACTTTTCATCCAAATTTTGTGTTTTCCAACTAGGAAAACCCCCTATCCGCTGAATGAAACAACCATTCAACCAGTAGTTTTTCTTCATCAGAATTAAAAAATGCTGGTGGGTCCATTTTCCTCTGCATTGGTGTTTTTCCTTTTTCTTTATAAATAAGAGTTGACTTTGGTACATTAAACATCTTGGCTGCTTTTTCATAAGATAAACCTCTACTTCTTGCATCGAGAGCATTTTGAAGATCTTTTTCACTCTATTTAAACTTAGGCTTCGTTGTGATATTTACTGGTACTGAAAAAAGTTAACCTGATGCATATTTGCTAAATTTTCTATATAGATTTTCCATTTTTTGATAATTGACCACTATAAGAGTCAGTGTTTGACCAATCTTTTATCCTTTTAATTGTACAGATTGATTACTGCTTCAGTGTGTTTAATTACTTTTATTGTTATAAAAAAGCCTCATTAAAATCTTATTAATATTTTCAAGAAAACAGAACGAGAAAGGAACATTTCGTTTTCCCATTCTGAGCGAGTTTTCAGGGTAATCTTTCCAGATTAGTTAAATTAACTCGGCTGTTCTCGGCAGTTTTTCAGGANCAGTAGAACTAACACAATACCTAGAACTAGAATCATTTGGGTTTAGCCACATGTCTCTAAAGACGGCTAAACCCGAATGATTCTAGTTCTAGGTATAGTATTAATTCTAGTTTTATACTTGCACTGTCACTAGAACTAACATTAGACCTAGAACTACTAGAAATATTTGGGTTTAACCGTATGTCCCTTAAGACGGCTAAACTCAAATGATTCTAGATCTACTATATAATTTAATATACGTACTTTAACCTTTCAACTAGGGTAAACGCACCAGTGTTTGACCTGTTAAGGATTTTTTAATGTCAGTGTTTGACCGAGCCATATTATTTTTCTTGTAGATCTCTCTGCCTTTACATAAAATGATCAAAATATGATCAAATTAATAAAATAATACACATCTGATTCATTTAAACTTACTTGCCCTACATATAAAATACAGGGTGATTCATTAGCTCTATGACAAACTGTGGCAGATGAAAGGTGATGCGATTCTAAGGAAAAAATGTTATATGAATATGGGTCCGATTCATTTTGGTTAAAGAGTTACAAGCCTTTGAAAATTTTACACAGTTTAATAGGCAAATGAAAATGTAACATAAAAAATAAGTTTAAAAATTACAAAAATTGTTCCGCCTTCAGCTTGAATGCACGCTTCACATCGACGAAATAAAGATTTACAACAATAATTATGAAACACAACTACAGAGTTGGCTGTGATAACAAAACTGAGTTCTTTATGTCAAACATTTCAATTTACAGAGATTTGTCAGAGTTTTGATCGAAAACGAAAATGCATGTATTTACGACTGAAGAATATGCAGATATTATTTTTGTATACGGGCTTTGTAACGGAAACGCTCGGCAAGCAGCAAGAGAATACCTTCGTAGGTTTCCAAATAGACATCAACCTGCCCATACAGTGTTTAGTGCATCATTTCGCAGACTGAGAGAAACAGGTAACCCCNACTTAGAATTTTTTTTTGACAACTCAATTTACTTTTATCTAGTAAAAGTAAACAAGTGTTTCTAAATTATCTTCGAAGAAATCGAAACCATACCTGAGATCGAGTCCAATGTTCCATCCTGTTCCCGAAGGACCCGAGAACTAAATTTCCCGAGAATCCTAAACTTCTAACACCGAAGAACATCCATCCCGCAAGACCAAGGTCAACCAACCATTTTTAACTGACATGTCACACCTCCGGAAACAAGTTAAGTGAACATAATTTCCTTTTATCGAACTCTTTAATTTTTATAACCCTCGCAATTAAAATTTAAAAAAAATCAATCTTAAAAGACCCTTATAAATTAACGCGTATAAGCTTTGTCATTTTCAACATTCTTATAAAGGAGTTACCTCTTTCTTGCACAGATTTCTTTATGCTCTATTTTATATTTAGTTCGTAAATTTAAAAATTTAGTTATAGATGTCTCCATGAACTTGCGTTTTATTCTTTTTTTTGTCCCTGGGATTCATGTTCTTTAATTTAACAAAAACAAAAATGTGTTTTTGTTCGTTGTTATCCAATTAAATAATTATTATATGTTTTCTGTGTAATTTATTTGTAAAAAATTTGGTTTATATAATTAATTTATATCGAACAAAATAAAATAATACAATATATTTAACCTTTCAACTAGGGTAAACGCACCAGTATTTGACCTGTTAAGGATTTTTTAATGTCAGTGTGTGACCGAGCCATATTATTTTTCTTGCAGATCTCTCTGCCTTTACATAAAATGATCAAAATATGATCAAATACACATCTGATTCATTTAAACTTACTTACCCTACATATAAAATATAACATCTTGAAGTAATATTTTTTAAAAAATTAAAAAGGAAAACAGTATTTCGCATTTAGTGTTTGACCACTTTGATTACATTACTTGACCAACAATAATAAACCGTAAATGTTTGACCGATTCTTAATATAATATTCATTTTCATTATTTTTCCATACTATTTTGTTCACAAAAAAATTTTTATATTTTTTGACTCTTTAAGAACATCTTTTAAAAAAGGAGCAAAATGTTCTTGACTTAACTTTTCATCCAAATTTTGTGTTTTCCAACTAGGAAAACCCCCTATCCGCTGAATGAAACAACCATTCAACCAGTAGTTTTTCTTCATCAGAATTAAAAAATGCTGGTGGGTCCATTTTCCTCTGCATTGGTGTTTTTCCTCTTTCTTTATAAATAAGAGTTGACTTTGGTACATTAAACATCTTGGCTGCTTTTTCATAAGATAAACCTCTACTTCTTGCATCGAGAGCATTTTGAAGATCTTTTTCACTATATTTAAACATAGGCTTCGTTGTGATATTACTGGTAGAGAAAAAAGTTAACCTGATGCATATTTGCTAAATTTTCTATATAGATTTTCCATTTTTTGATAATTGACCACTATTAAAGAGTCAGTGTTTGACCAATCTTTTATCCTTTTAATTGTACAGATTGATTACTGCTTCAGTGTGTTTAATTACTTTTATTGTTATAAAAAAGCCTCATTAAAATCTTATTAATATTTTCAAGAAAACAGAATGCGAAAGGAACATTTCGTTTTCCCGTTCTGAGCGAGTTTTCAGGGTAATCTTTCCAGATTAGTTAAATTAGCTCGGCTGTTCACGGCAGTTTTTCCGAGATTCCTTGGAGGAAAAGTTCTTTGGACGTAGAAAATTGCTTTTCTTTCAATACTTATACGAGACGCGGGAAATGAGGAATCTGCTTGGATGTAGTACATGAAGTTTCAGAAGAGTTATTGTTAGGGTCCTTTTAATGCGCTCTAATTTTCTTTCTGGTAGACGGCGTCGGTGGTGGTGCTAAACCCAATTGTTTCTAGTTCTAGGTCTAGTGTTAGTTCTAGTTTTAGACTTGCACTGTCACTAGAACTTCTACTACAGTGAAATTTCCCTAACTCGAACTTCTATATCTCGAATTATCCTCTAAGTCGAATAATTTTCGTAAGCTTACGCGTTTGACTAGGTTTTAAATGTCAAAAAACTCGAATTTCTCTGTAACACGAACTGAACTTGTATGGAATTTCTTCAACTTTTACTTCTATAAGTCGAATTTACCAAAGAATAAAATATCCGAATCTGCTCTGTACGTAATTTTAACTACAGAATCAAACCACATAGACTCTAGCTGAGAAACTACAGACTCTTGAACCAAAACAAACCTAATGTTCTTATTGTTTCAAAATCAGATGAGGGTGATGATAATCTTGAAAATGAAATACTTATTGCTGTGCATACATTTGATGAAGCTTATTTCTCTCTTAAAAAGCTTGAAACCTTTGTATTATCAAGAGAGAATGTTGCAGATAATATTCATAATTCTTTATATTTAATAGAAGATTTTTTTCGGCAAAGAGCGGTTGTCCACTTTAAGCCAAACGAAAATTACGGATTACTTTAAAAAACTTCTTTCTCCCTTCTATTTCTGTTTTAAATATACGTATTAGAAAAATACATTTCCATTCTGTTGTATATTTTTATTGAACTAAAACTAGAACGAGAACTAGAAACATTCGGGTTTAGTCAGGAAAAAAACTTTCAGTTGTCAATGTCAACTTTACTACCTTAAAAATCGACGATTTTTTAATCAATGTGACCCAAAAAATACGTTAAAAATAAAAAAAAAAGTGCGGAAAAGTGACTAACACTAGATTAACTTGAGTTATAAAACTTCTATTATGTGATAACTAACTTCAGGTTTAAAATGTCAACCTCAATTTTGATATATTTGTAATCTTCATTAAAAATCCTCCGAAATGAGTACCAACACGACATATTTATCTTCAATATTAATGAAGTTATGGTCAACTTCCGGTTGGGAATGTCAACGTCAATTTTGACATATTTGTAATCGCCGTGAAAGATCCTTTAAAATGAGTCCAAACATGATACGTTTAATTCCAATATTACTCGAGATATAAGCAACTCCCGGCGTGAAATGTCAATGTCATTTTGATATATTTTTAATTTTTATAAAATGTCTTAATATTTGTCACTAAAATAAAAATATAATAAAAAAAATTGAGGTTGGCATTAATATTTAAAAATTAAATTGCTATCTTCGGGTTTAATGTTTTTTATTCTAACTTTTTTGTTTTCTGAGATAAGTGCGTCATCTTTGGACTCATTTTAAAGGTTTTTTAATGAAGATGATAAATATGTCAAAATTGACATTGACGTTTCAAACCGGAAGTGATTGTATTTCCATTAATATTAAAGTTAAATATGTCGAGTTTGGACTCATTTTAAAGGATTTTTTATGAGGTTGACAAATATATCAAGAGAGAATGTTCCAGATAATATTCATAATTCTTTATATTTAATAGAAGATTTCTTTCGGCAAAGAGCGGTTGTCCACTTTAAGCCAAACGAAAATTACGGATTACTTTAAAAAACTTCTTTCTCCCTTCTATTTCTGTTTTAAATATACGTATTAGAAAAATACATTTCCATTCTGTTGTATATTTTTATTGAACTAAAACTAGAACGAGAACTAGAAACATTCGGGTTTAGTCGTGAAAAAACTTTCAGTTGTAAATGTCAACTTTAATTTTATTATTATATTCGTAATCTTCATAAAATAACCTTTAAAGTGAGTCCAAACTTGACGCATTTATCTCAAAAAACCAAAAAGTTCGAACTTTCAACTTTTAATTTTGACATATTTGTCAACTTCATAAAAAATCCTTTAAAATGAGTCCAAACTCGACATATTTAACTTTAATATTAATGGAAATACAATCACTTCCGGTTTGAAACGTCAATGTCAATTTTGACATATTTATCATCTTCATTAAAAAACCTTTAAAATGAGTCCAAAGATGACGCACTTATCTCAGAAAACAAAAAAGTTAGAATAAAAAACATTAAACCCGAAGATAGCAATTTAATTTTTAAATATTAATGCCAACCTCAATTTTTTTTTATTATATTTTTATTTTAGTGACAATATTAAGACATTTATACATACATGTTTGGACTCATTTTAAAGGATCTTTCACGGCGATTACAAATATGTCAAAATTGACGTTGACATTTTTAACCGGAAGTTGACCATAACTTCATTAATATTGAAGATAAATATGTCGTGTTGGTACTCATTTCGGAGGATTTTTAATGAAGATTACAAATATATCAAAATTGAGGTTGACATTTTAAACCTGAAGTTAGTTATCACATAATAGAAGTTTTATAACTCAAGTTAACCTAGTGTTAGTCACTTTTCCGCACTTTTTTTTATTTTTAACGTGTTTTTTGGGTCACATTGATTAAAAAATCGTCGATTTTTAAGGTACATGATGATTCTTGAATTTTTCCCAAATTTCTTAATATTTCTTTTGTTAAAAAAGAACGTTCTTAAACTCATTTCTGGTACTTAAAACTATAATCGGATCAAATAGATTCGGTTAAGTAAATCTTAACAAACGTGAATGTCATCATGTACGATTACAAAAATTGTTTTAAAATCTTACTAACATTTTCAAGAAAAGAGAATGTAAAAGGAACATTTCGTTTTCCCATTCTGAGCGAGTTTTCAGGGTAATCTTTCCAGATTAGTTAAATTAGCTCGGCTGTTCTCGGCAGTTTTTCGAGATTCCTTGGCGGAGAAGTTCTCTGGACGTAGAAAAATCGCTTTTCTTTCAGTACTTATACGAGACGCGGGGAATGAGAAATCTGCCCGGATGTAGTACATGAAGTTTCAGAAGAGTTATTGTTAGGGCCCCTTTTAATGCGCTCTAATTTTCTTTCTTGTAGACGGCGTCGGCGGTGGTGCTTTACGGTTAATTTATCGTACAGAATTGAATTACAAGCACTTAGGAGATACCTTCCATTAAAAAAATTTTGTTTTAGGAAAGTCCAAAAAAAAAAACAATCTAATTTACTAAAAGTACGGTGTGTCTTGATTAAGATGCATCACAAGACAGTAGAAAGTACTTGAAGATATCTAAAATATTATTACTTGTTATAGATTGGTAAAAAATCTATTGACTAATTAAGCCAGGTCGCTTGTGGCTGAAGCTCAATGATTACATCAACCTACAACTTAGCATCATTTTGTAGCCAAGTGGACTAAATTCGAATGCCTAAATCTGGAGTCAAAACCGGTAAGATTTAAAATAAATTTGAAATATTGATAAATGTTTACAAAAAAAATTGTTAACTTACAATTAACGCTGAGTGAAATCCTTTTACTAACAGCAGGTGGAACATCGTTGCTTGCAATACATAGATATGCTCCCATCTGCTTCCTATCCGATCTCAAGAAGTACAAATTGCTGCCGTTGAACGTGTCCACTAAACACATAGAGAAAAGGTGAGGAGAAGGAAAGAAGAGAGGGTGTGAGAGAGAAGTTACGAAATGTGCCCTCATTTCATGGTTTAGAAACGAACGAACCGACCGTAAATCCTCACAACGTGGCGACGAATATCTTCGGTCGGTTCCCACTCTGCGATATTAGAGTACCGTGGCTCGCTTACCTATTTCCAGTTCGCGATTTCCAGCTCTTCTCATGTTGATGGGCTGCCCGTCCTCCCGCCTCCATATCACCCTCGGGGCTGGATGTCCTGTTGCCCTGCACCATAATGTCACGTTGTCCCCTTCGGTCACAGACAAATCTCCACTCGTGTTATTGTCTATGATATCCGGTGGTACTTAAAAAAAAATTCAATCATATTTTAGAGTAAAATATTTTACATAATTTAAACAAAGGTTAAAAATATTTCATTGCAGCTCGAACATTTACAATTTGTCGTTTAATAAAATGATAATCGAATACCTACATTCTAAATATTGATTAATTAAAACGTCCGTGTTTATTCAAAACTGAAGAACGTTTATTTGACATTTAATTTAATCATGAAGCAATGAATTAAAGCAATACGTACCAAATCGTTTTATAGCATCGATTAGTTTTGTTTTTCTAATAGTTTGAATTAGTGTGTGCACATTGAAACGGAAACTCAAGAGAGTAAATCACGATGTCGGGTGAGTTAAGCAGAACTAAATGAATTTGGTAACCAGGGAGCCTAAGTTTCTCCATTACCGAAGGCTGCAGAGTCGGCCGTCGAAACTTAATGTTGAATCGGGGCCGAAAACAAATTAAGAAAGATTTAATTGACAAGTCTGTCGTTAACTCGGGACATCCCTTATTAACTGAGGTTTGCCGGAATTTGCTCTGGCGATCAGTTTTAAATTGGATTTTTGTCCGAACGGATTCTCGACTTTTTTATTGGCTTGAAAAGACGGTTGTTTTCGAGCCATTTTAACTTTTATTGCTACCGCTCGAAAAAGCTTTTAGATTATTTGACAACTTAACTTAGCTTATTTTTATTCTGTAATCGATCAAGAATTTTGTTAGGTTTAAATTTTTATTGTACCATATTAAATGAGTTCCAATTAATACTATATTTAAATTCAAAATGGTTGTTTATATTGATTAATATTTATTAAATCTATTATTATTATTCAATATATAATTAGTTGAATTTGTGTTAATTGTTATTAAGTGCTAAATTGTTGTCAATTTTTACTGACAAAAGTAGAACTAACACTAGACCTAGAACTAGAAACATTCAGATTTAAGGTGGGTTCATGCAAAGTGTTTTAGTTCTAGTCATAGCCATAGTCATAAGCGTTTGCTTTAGCTGTAGTTATAAGGAGAGGGATTGGTTCATGCAATATTTAAGCACAGCACATTAAAGGAAAATTTTGACACAAAAACAGCCGTGCCACAACTCAT